ATTTAATTTCATGTTTTGTTGCTTTTACCTGCAGGATTGCTTTTACTTGAAGGATAAAAGGGCAGAAGGGCCGTCCTATGTGGTAGAGATATTTATGCTTCATTATCTTATAAATTACTGTTGTTGTTGTTCTAGTTATGGAATTACTTAATTTTCTCTCTAATTGCAGGGGAATGAAAAGTTGACCGAGGTATATAGAAATTTTTCTTATAATCTTTTAATGTTATGAAATTAATATGTTAACTGTTAGAGAAAGCTGCTGAAAACAACTCCTAGAATGTCCAACATGTTTGTTTATTTATTTTCATGTTATCCATTGATATCTGTTTCTCAAATCATGTGTCCTTCAGTGGGAAGCTATCTTAGGATGCGAGGAAGTTGCCATGAATGAACCTAGTCACCTTGATGATGTAAGTTCTACAATTGCATAGACTCTGCTAATGAAAAAACTTGATGACATGGTCAAGATTAATTTCAGACTTAAAAGGGCTAAGAGAGATGGAAACAGATGTTTTTTCATGCTTTCACTGCTATTGATCTGGCTTTCTGTTTCTATTAAACCGTAGCCTGTAGTGGATGATGACGAGAATTATGACTACAGGTTGATCAATATTAAATGGCTTTGTCTACAGGTTATCTCATCTCATCGCTTCCTGTCTGCAACCTTCAACACGGCAGAGCCCTCAAGGAAGAAACTGCCTTCTGGTGCAAAACCGAGCAGGCATGCAGTAACTCCGTCCATCACCTCATTTCTGCGACTTCCTCGTCCCCATTTCTTCCGGATGTTTGACTACCCTCAAGCGCTTGGTGGCCACCATAACGCTCACAAACACGAGCGAGCAGCTCAGCAAAACTCTCCAGCCACCGAACAGCAGCAATACCATCCACTTGCTCTGTTCCCCGCTGATCAACATCAACAACATACCCCATCAAAACCATTTCCCCACTCCCCGGGCATGGACCATACCGTGGGTGCAGTCGTGTTTGTTAACGTGTGGCAGGTACCAATCCAGCCGCAGCAGCACCTTCTTTCCAGCTCAGTCCCTCATCAGAGTTTTCTGGGCGTTTCGACTAATCCCGACGCTCTCTCCCCTACCAAGGATGTGGATGATTTATCTGCCGATATTGACCTCACCCTTCGCCTGTGATGCAACGCGTTTCTCTTTCTCTCAACTTCTTTAATCATATTATAGTGTCATATCTAGATCGACCGGTTGGGATCAGTATGATCATGCATGGTGACCATGTTGGGGCTTCATTCCTCAGAGTTTAAACTCTAATTTAGTTTTCCATGTACCAATATATATATATATATATATATATATGTAGATTCTGCTGATGTAGTTTCAACTTTATTTTAATAATATCTCTATTTTTGTCAAAAAAAAAAAAAAAAACCTTCTTTTTGAAAGCAAAAAGTGGGACAAGTTAACGGGGATTTAATGAGAATGAAAGTGGTTAGGGTTAATGGGATTCCTGAATCTCTTGTTTGGTGTTCGTTTCCATATGTTTATGGGGTCTCAACATTTTTTTTTTCTGTCCTCATCGTACTAAAATTGAAGTGAATGGTGATGATGATGATGAATCATGAATGTTAGTTCCCTTAGCTCTGTTCTTATATAAGAAAGTAGTAATTAAGTAGCAT